ATTTTTCTGCCTTTGAGGTTCTTGGCTTTGTAGGTATTTTATCCTGTACTTCTGTACTGTTGTGAAAAGTATGCAGAAATACTCTTGAATCAATATTTTGTATTGTGGCTTGAGTTTACTAGGCTCTTTTAATATCTCCACCCTTTTGTAGTACATGGGTTGATACGGAGCAACAAAGAAATGATTCCTTTTAAAAACATTGCACTTTTAAAAACACGTGCAGCTACAATGCACAGACTTACAGATTTAGGGAGGGAGGTTCCAGAAAAGTTTGGAAATTCCTAAATTGAAATTGCATCCTAAGGTAGAGCTTGTGTAAAACAAAAGTGTGGTTTTTTTTCATACTACTTTCAAGAGGTGAGACTACTATAACTGAAATAGGAAAAGTTTTCTTACAACTTCTGCCTTAATGATTTTGATAACGTTTTGTGGCTAAGCCTTTCTACTAGTTTTTCTACATTAGTTTTTCCTTGGGTATGAGCGAATCCACACAGACAGCAGGAGACAATTCTTCTTAAACTATTGAAATTATCAAAACTGAATAAAGATACAAGTCTTGAATAGTCCTTGGATTAATTATTTGTTATGTAAAAATAAAGTTTCACTTAATTTCTTTTCCCCTGCCGTCTCTCGCCCTGTGGTACTCCCCCGTCCTAGTGAACGGGATACCCTGGGTGGTTTTCATTGCCAAATGAGTGGATTGGGGGCAGTGGGGAGTAGAAATAGAGGCAGAGCTAAACTGCGTTTTTCTTTAGCCAGTGATGTCACTATATGGGGAAAGAAGGTAGGGAACAACCAGGAGCTGTTTTTTTTTCTCCAAACATCCAGTTATGGTTGGTAAAAGCAGCAAGTCGTTTCTAGCAGGTCAAGCTTTACAGGGCAGAGTATTCCAGGGTCAGGCTCCTGTTGCGAGGCGGTACGTTGGAAGTACTCTCAAGCTGCAAATCATCGTTGCTTTTGTTACATCCATCCCATTTCTTTTATTTCTTAAATAACGTGTAAGTTTTTGTGTCTTAGGTTGTTTCTTGAGCTGATCATGGTGCCCTTTGAGGAATTAGATGTATTATTGAAAGGACAGTCCTCTGAAAATAGGGGTTTTGGTTTTTTTTTCATATATTGGTTTGGGAAATGTGTATGAAAGAAGATCCAAGTCTAATTGAACGTATGCAAATGTGAAGTACATGGGCGTCTTACTGAACAGTTTCCCCTTCTAACAGTGAAAATCCATGAGGAACTAGTAAGGTTGTTAAAATTTAGATTTACCCGTCTTTAAAACATGGTTTTGACACATGTAACTATGATACTGAAAATTAAATAAAAATCAGCTTTAAAATAGTCATTTGGTATTCTAAAATCTTATGAAAATTTAAAAAGGCAACAAAGTTTTGATGTGCTATTCCAAGAGGTAGTGGTGGGGAGGTGTGTGAAGAGAGAGCAGAATACATATATATATGCACACACACATATATATACGCCTATACATATATGTGTATATGTATTTCTGTATACAAATATTTGCATCTCAGTTTGATGCATGTTTCAGCTGTAGTTCATCCTAAGCTGGAAATAGCTGTGTGTACTGACCTCATTGCTTTTACTATGTTTTTGTTGCTGTTGCCCAGAGTGCTGTCTGTAACAGCAAAAGAACAATTTACAGTGATCTGCTCAATCCTGTTCTTCTAAAGCTCTTGTGTATTCCTGCCTTATTAGCCTAAGTTTCAGCCTCTCGTGTTCTTTATTTAATGACTTCTCCAAGTACTATATTCTTTACTGCATCCTCCCTGGCTACTTCAGCGCATCTAGCTGATTTCCCTTTTTTGTGCCCTCTGGCAGTTTCTTTCTCCTTGGATTCCCCCCCCCCCCCCTCCTTGCAACGTCATTCTTGGGATACCTTTTAAGACACTTCTTATTTTTTGCTGCCACTTGTTTATTGTCATCCTCTGTCCTGCTATGAGCTCTCTCAGTTTCCTGGTTCTCTCTGGTTGTGTTCCTGAAATACGAACGCTGAAGTGCTACATTCACACTGGCTTCTTTGTTCTCGTTATATGGGACTGGCTGCTTTTTCTGGAGGACCAGTTGCTTGTTGGTGTGTAAAGGAAAGGATATGGAGTGCCTGTCTTATTGTTGGCTCCGTTTTTCTTCCTCCATCTCATTTTTTTGAGCCTTCTGGTGGTTTGTTTGTGGGTGTTGGGATTTGGAAATTTTTGTTGTTGTCTTTCATTACCTCTTAAAACAGATTTTCCCGAGTTTTAATAATAACACTGACTTTGTTCATCAGTAGTCTTTGCACTTATCCTAAAGGAATATAATTCAAAGTTGCAATTAAGCTTTTTTAAAAAAACAAGTCTTAACTCACTGACACCTCTCTCTTTCTGTCTTTTATCTGACAGTTTTTATTTGTCTGTACTGTGATTTCTCAGCAAGCATGGATGTTAGCTGAAGTATGTCTTACAACTTGAATAGCTTTAAAAATTAAACATTCTGGCACTAGAACTTGTGTTTTATGGAGATTAGTAATGAAAAGTCATGGTCTTGACTTAGCGTTGGTGTTGGAAAAGGTATCTGGCTACCACTGTCCTGAAGGACAATTTTTCTTCTTTAGTATCTCCTGGAATAGGAATCGAATTAAGGAAGTAAATACCTTCTTGCGTATTCTTTGTATTTTATTGAAGTAGGGCTTTCATTTTGTATTGCTGAAAGTCTTGTTATCACTTTACTTGCATTTTAATTTTTAGCCAATTTTTTTTATCTTCTGCATTGTTTTTTTCCTTAACTGAGACAGTGGATAAATCTGTGTAACTTGGTTGTTTCACAAGTATCTTGGAACTTTAAATTCATAGAAAAATAAGAGGTACATTTTTAAATGACATCTTACTTTCCATTACACTGTCAAATGAAGATACTTTTATTCTCTTATTTTGCTTTGTGGCAAACAATTGATTACATTTTTGACTAGTATTCAAGGGCTCTTTTTTCTTTATTGTGAGAGCAAAATCAAATTATGTAATGCAAAAACATTTTTTTCTATGATTTGTGGGGAATATTTCAAGGTAAAAATGATTATGTGTGTGTAGGAAATGTTGAAGATCTCCATGGTTTTTTGCACTATACAGATCATGACAATATAATGATTCTGCCTTTAGTAAGCCACAGCTTAAATGGGAAGTTAAGTTTATGGGAAGAATGGAAAATAATATTTAATGAAGCAGAACACCTAACCATGAGCTGTGATATAGAAGGAGGAATTAAAAAGTAGTACTGGGATGTCCTGGCTTCTCTTTCTGCTTGGAAGATGGGAAGCAAGATTGGAGTAGAGAGAATGGTCCTGACAAGCCAATGTAGATTATGCTTCCAGGTCTAATGACTAGTAGAAAAGAAGTGTGCACAGTTTGCCATGAAAACATTGTGTAGCATATGGTGTAGTTTTTGCAACTGGTTGTTTTACGATGTGAAATTACAACAGCAGCTTATGGAGTATATAGAATTCACTGTAGATCCAGAGTAGGCAGAGTGGTCTGGAAAGTGGTGAAATGTGCATTGGATTTTGGTGTCTTCTGGTATGTGTGCATGCCTGCCTATGAGTGCCAGACTGTAGGACTGTTACGTAAAAACAAACCTCCCCCAATCCCTTATTTCCCTCTTCTCTTAAAATGCTCTACAGGAAGCAAAGTACAGTAAGAATGTCACGCTGTTCAGGTGGTGCTGGGGCCCTAAGGAAAATGTATCCCTCTTCCCTCAGCTTTCTGTGTTCAGCCTTTCATGGATATTTCATCAGCTCTGACAGTTCTGTGTGCAAGTTTTAGTTTCTCTCAGTTTCTGAAATGTGAAGCTAATACTTGTTTTCAGAGTTATTGATACTGGAAGACAGAGCAGTGTCTTCTGAATGCTTAGGTTCAAGAGTTTTTGAAAGTGTTTTGCAATAAATTTCCTCACACATGAGATGCAAGTCATGGTGATGTATTTTATGAAAACTAGGTTTGGGGTTTCTTTGCTTAGAGTCACACTTTCAAATTTGAAGAGCTGAACATCCTATCTGTATCCTACATGTTTTGAATATCGAATATGCTTTCTGTGAATTCAGTCTTTAAAAAAAAAAAAAGACTATTTAAATCTGGCACTGCAGAATCCCTTTTTGTGCTTAATGGTCTTAACAGAATAGCACTCTTCTTAACTTCTGATATGATTAAAACTCTTTGAAATAGTGTGCCTGGGCTATGTTTCTAGAAATGAGATAAGAATTATTCTGTAAGTTGCATTCACAGAATGCCTCAAACTGCCATCTATAAAAACTAGTAACTTCTGAAAACTTAGTTCTTGAGGAATTAAGTTTTCCACTGGGTGACATTAGTAAGGAGAATAGTGCAGAGGATTCTCCAAAACAGTTGGTGCAGTTAATTTTAATAGTAATACAGTGTGGTCATAGCAAGCAAAATGGTAAACATCTCCATTAAAGACATTTGCAATGCCTGTATATAGTGGGATAATTTGAAAACTTACTATGGATTTGATCACCTTGATGGATGAAAGTTGTCATATGTTTATGCACATTATTTTAAGATTATAGGATTATGTTAGTCTAGTTATCTGTAGGGCCATCCTAATATTTCTATTTGGTAAGCAGATACTCGGGCTAATTTAAATCAAGCCACACTTATTTCTGTTTTATATTGTTTTTGTAAAATTGCAAGTTCCCATACCATAAGTTAGCAGTGCTGGTACCATAAGCAGATACTAATTTTTAAACACAAATGGGACTTCGACAGCAGCCTTATCAAAGTCTGGTAAATCAGTGAATATGGGTTAGTTCACAAGGAAGATCGCTTTGAACATTGCCTAGAAAGATCTGCCTGTTAGTATCTTTGTTTCAAGGGCCAGCCAGCATTGTGGCGATACATAGTGTGGAATGCCAGTAATCAATTAGTTGTCTGAAATGTTTTCTTTTTGGTTAACTGCTTAAACTTCAGAATACGTTTTTAATATTTGTTTTCTCTGTTTAGCTCTTTTCACTGATGGAGATGAAACCTCCTATTTCGCGAGCAAAAATGATTCTCATCACAAAAGCTGCCATTAAAGCTATTAAGGTAAAGTACAGTAGAATAAACATGAAACTGTAACATGAGCAATGTTTTATTATTTTACTTCTAAGTAAATGCATCTCTGGATTTCCCAGTCAGCTTCATGGATGTTTTATTCTCGTTGGCGTTAAGAATGTTATAGAAACAAGGGGGTGGTGAATATAATATCTTGATTTTAGAGTAGTAGCATAATGCCAGCTTGATTTTTTTGAATCATTGCTTTTTAATGCCACACCCACTAAGGTGTTGTGATTTCTATGCAATAAAATTTTAAATGTTGCAGGATGCAACTGCACCGTAGCATATTAAAACATAGCGGACTTGCTTAGAAAGTAAGTCCAGAAAGCTCTCCCTAATGCTCTGGAAGCCCTACGTCTTTTGTGTACACACTGGCACACTTCTGACAGAAAGGATGGCTTGTTTCTGTGTGTTACCCCATGAAATAATTTTCTCTGTGCTAGATTAACTTAGCTTGATAACATACTACTTTTTAGAATGTGACTACAGTATTTTGTAGTCTTTCCTAAATGGTAGTAAGCACAAAGAGTTAAAATACTTCTAAAATGATGTGCCACAGTTGAGTAGGTGATAAATTAATTTATGTATTTATTTTCCAGCTCTACAAGCATGTTGTCCAGATTGTAGAGAAGTTTATCAAAAAGGTAAAAAATAATCTACTGATACAGATATTGTCTGCATCTGTTACTAGGTATTATTTGTAATGCTAGTAAAAAACCCAAAAGGCTTCTGCTATTTAGGGATTGAGGGAAGAAATTCTGTTTTATTAGGATTTTATACATTTTGGTATCTCTTTGTCTATATAATCTCATTTTAGTTTTCCTTACTATATTAAGAAGGGGAGGAAAAGAAAAACTGTGAAATTTCCCCTTCCTCCTCTACCCAGCAACTGGGGAGGAAACTGGAGGTATTGAACTTCAAATTAATTTTCACTGGGTAAGATAATACATATTTTCAGAAAATACAGTTTTCTTGCTTGGCTAGGCATATAGAACAACAGGCTAGAATGTAACACTAAAACCAAACTATCATGCTGCCTAAAGTAAGTTCCTCTGAGTAAACAGGAAAAATACTCTTTTTTCATTCAGAGTTCTTCAGAGACCTCCAAAGAGAAGGACTTTGCGTTAAACTCTGGAGAATAGAGTTGGTGGAAGTAGTTCAGTGCATTGAGTGGGAGGTAGCTTGATAGCAGAGTTGTGACAGTCTGAACTGTATTGTAGTAGACCTGTTGTTGTGGTCACGTGTTGTCAAGCTAAATGTACTTTAAAAGCAGTGGTTGAGAAGGCAAAGGCTGCTTCAAGCTATCTGGGTATATTTACCCTGTCCCAAATGTGAAAGCATGTTTCTCTCCTTTTCTTTTCCATTTCTATAAACAAAACAGAAGTAAAGCACTAAGAGAATTCTTTATAAACCAAATTAAAACAAATTAATATATATTTTTTTTCTATCCAAGTATACTAAGTATATATTTTGTGTAAGGATGTAAGGTGAGTGCATGTTACCTTGTTAGTATCACTGCATAATGGAAAATAATTTTCATGTTTTCAGTGCAAACCGGAATATAAAGTCCCTGGATTGTATGTCATCGACTCTATTGTTCGTCAGTCTCGTCACCAGTTTGGAACAGACAAAGATGTTTTTGGGCCAAGATTCTCTAAAAATATTACTGCCACATTCCAGTATTTGTATCTCTGTCCATCTGAAGACAAGGTACAACTATAATTTCTCAAGTGTTGTTGTGAATTGATAACAGTGCTACCTTGGTGTTTCCACTTCTGTGATAGCTAATTAGGTCATTCTCTGTGTTCATGGTAGTGAATGTTATTATGTGAAATGGTAAATCGTGATGAGAAAGATTATCAAAGGTGCTAGTGAAATGAAAGTTCTAGTTAAAATACTTATTTTACTTGTCTGCATAGGCAAAACTAAATTGATGAAGTTATTTCAACGGTGTGTGTGACTATGCCAAAATTTTTCTTCTTGAGGCTTCTTCAGGAAAACTTACTATGGAAGGTGGAGTCTCCCACAAAAAGAAAGTGTTATAGGAGAAGCTCTGGTGTTGTAGGCAGTGAAGGTTCTGCTCCCAAATATTTTCTAAAAAATCATCATGTTGATTTCTTCAGTCTTTACAAATCCCATGCTTGAGAATTTCATTGCTGCTCTCCATTGTCAGGACTAGTTTAAGGCACCGGTTTCCTTAGTTTTGTACTTGCTGATAGAACAGAGGCTTAGAAAGTTTCCTGAATTCATGATGGTCCAGGTTGCTACCAACAGGAGATGACTTTTATGCCCTCTGTCAGAACAATTTCAGAAGACTCCCAAGATAAGTGTGTTTTAGAAGTTGCCAGTTGGTTTCCAGAAAATCGCCTACTCTCTCTTTTTCTTAATTGTAGTACAATTGTAGAGCAAAATACTCTTTTTCTAACTGACTTTCACTAACTTTCTGACTAAGATTTTGAAAGGCTTTGATGCTCTGTAGTTTTCTAATGTGGAACTTTTAGACCTTTAGGCCTTGAATCTGATATTCTGGAGCTTCTGGGTTAATACCTTGGTGAAATAGAGCGGTCCCTTCTTTCTGTCTTTGTGGTTACCATTTTGTTCATCTAAATGAATTAGACTATCTGTGTCCTTTATGTAACTACCTGATATCTCACTGCTAAAATAATTAAGATGCTTTTCACTAGGGGAATAATACTATTTATAACATGCTTGCTTTAATGAATGTCCAGTACCTAAACAAAAAACCTGATCTGCAGATACACAGCAACTATGGTTGATTTCCAAAGAGAATGATACTATGATACAACTTTTTTTTTTTTTTTTAAACAGCCTTTCTGTAAGATTAATATGTGACTGAAAACAAGAATATTAAATTTATTCATTTTTTGGCCTTCATATTATTTTCAAGTCTTGTGGAGAGATAGAATATCTAAAGCCAAAAAATGCTGTTGTTTTAAAGTTAGCTGTTTTTCAGACCAAAATCTTATTTTAAAATAGCCATTTCAGGTTTCTCTCTAATTGATCTTATTGTAGAAAACATTTTGTGAAATTCTTTAATCGCTTATCTTATATAAGTATAGGTCTGTTTGCATGGGTGTATATAACTGAATCACAGTAAGACATTTTATTGTTGCAACAAGAAGGAACAGAATTGATTCATTCTTAACAGCTACAGTAGAAGTAAAAAGTACTTAAAATGTATGTGTGTGCAGCTCAGATGACGATACAAAAAAGACAGGTAAGACAGGTATGTCAATATAACCTGTATTCTGACTTTTACCTGCGTGCATGTTCCAATTGAAGCAGCACATCTAGTTAGATATTATTGTTTAATACTTGGATAAAGAAGGAAAGACTGATTTCCAGCTTGTTCCTGAAAGCTTCATTGTTCTTAATGTTAAAAAAAGAAACAAGCTTAAAATAACAGCTGACAATCAGAGGTTCTAATTTGATCTTTCTGCAGTGATCAGAATATTTTCCACTTGCTTTCCTGATGTTTTGAATAGTGATGGAGATGGGTTTTCTGGTGTCAACATAGGATTGGTTGGGTTAGTAGAAAAAAATTCAAGCAAACAATCTTCTATCTAACTTTAAAGCTTTGTTCTAGAGTTTTGGAATAGCACCCTAATTGCCCCTCTCTTCGTTAGGGTTTTCCAGCTTATCTTCATTTTCTCTGTCTTTCTAGTCGCATATGTTGTTTGTTTTACCCCTTTATGACTATCTGTGAGGAAATGGTAGGGCTGATGTGACTTCCTCTATTGTATATCAAACCTGGATTTTCTGACTGGCCAGAACAGTTTTAGAAAAATGGTACAAGTCACTTTTTATTAAAGCGGATGGTAAAATAAGTTGGCAGTTTTTATCTTTGCAATGTAAAAGGTCTTGCTGACCTATGTGACAACATAGGGGGGTTGTTAAATAGGTATGCCTGATTATGTTGAACTCGTATACTGTTCAAACCTTTCTTCTCAATGTACGGAAGATAAATTTGGAGTTCGTGAATTAGGAAAGCTGTGTTTAGCACTGATGCTTGCTTTTGTTTCAACAGAGTAAAATAGTACGTGTCCTGAACCTTTGGCAGAAAAATGGAGTATTTAAAATTGAAATAATTCAACCTCTTCTGGATATGGCAGCAGGAACTAGTGCCACTGCACCAATGACAGAAAATGCTACTAATAATGAAGGTATGAATGACATTATAACTTCTTTTAAAAGGATGAATGGTAATAGCTTGTTTGCTTTCACATTAAAGCGCCTACTAGTAGTTTCAACAGTAGCATATTAATAAGTTCAATTTTGTTGTCACAATTATGTGGAACATCTGAACTAGTTCTAAATAAATGCTGATACTGTACATCAGAAATTATCAGCAAGTGAACACGTATTTGGAAAATACACGAAATTTGTATCGTGTATGCACATGTACATACATATGTGCGCACTTCACTTACGGATGACTTCAATGTCCCCTCTTAAAAAAATCTTTTTTTTTTTCTTTTGGTATGAAATATTTGTCTTTTGTTTCTCAGTTTTAGAATTCTGATGTATTTTTTTTTTAATGTTAGAACCTGGCTAAGTAAAGCATGATCTTGCATGTTAAGAGCTTCATCTTTCTTTGAATCAACTTGATACCTGAAAGCAACAGCTGTCAGTCTTTTTCAATATGCAGCCCTGAAACATTTAAACTGGTGTTTCAAATCCAAATTCTTGAACAGTAAATGTGTGCCCAGCAGTAGGCTTTTGCACAGGCTACTGGTTGAAAACCACTGACCTAAAGAGTAAAGTAATGACAGCCTACCCACAGTATTTTCACTGACCTATTTTTATGCCACATAAAAAGCTGGTAGTGAGGTTACTGAATCATGGACGAGAATATGCATGCCACAATTCTCTCTTTCTCTGGAGGGCCTTCTTTTTGAGTTTGCACTCTATATTTCAGACTTAGCTTTGGTAACCTCATTATTTATTGCACTCATGTATGCTGGAGTAGGACTGGCAAAAAATGTAATGGAGTGAGTGAGGTGTGGTGACAGACAACAAAATAATGATGCACAATAGCGTAAGTGAAATCGTCTCCAGTGATGTTTAGGAAAGTGTATCCTGTTGAAAAGTTTTATAAACATGGCAGGGCAGGGGGAGGGAATGTCTTAGCACCTGAGTTTGGGTGCAGACTGGTGGCTATACAGTTTCATTCTGATATGACAGGTGAGTGGCACTATTTTTCCATCTTTGTCTCATCACTAGTAGTTACTGGTTTGGGTGCCTTCTGCATAAATTTTCATGTACAGAATCACTGATTTCAGTGAGATATTCAGATGCACCAGAGGGGATAATTTGGCCCTGAAATAAATATGCTAATGAATAATAATAAATATACTAATGCATTATGTGAAATAGAATCTGTTTAGTGCATAATGCTACAAAGTCTGTTTAGCTAAAAAAAGAGAGAGAGAGAAATGCAAATTTTCTCCCTTGAGCAAGCGAATATCCTTCTGAATATATACAGGAAATAATTGGGGAGTTAATTTATATTTAAAAACAATCACGTATCTTTTTGCAGTATTTTTTTGTAGCATCTGACTTCTGGGAAAACATTATTCAACATGTTTGTCTGCTTGCTGCATGTGAACACTGCAGTTATTTAAACTGCAAACAGATGATTGGCCTTAAAGAAGTTGGTATTGTGAGGCAAACATACTTGCTTAGTGTCTCAAACTAAAAAATTTTTCTATCTGTGGTGTTTTTTAACTGTCTCTTGTACAGTTTTATAATAGTCTATTAAAGTATGTTTGCTAAAGAATAGTTACTTGCTCACAGCATGAAGGAATTGATGGTATTACTTTGTACTGGCAAAATGTTTATTAAAAAACCCCACATTGTAATCTGAAGCAAAGAGAATGGGAATGCTGCATGTGTAGACAAAGCTAATAGCATGTCTTAAAATGTGATCTGAGTTTTAGTAAAGCTTAGTGGAAATGGGAGTCTTTTCCTGGAAGAATTAGTAAAAATTCTTTTTATGGTAGAATTTATCTATCAGATGCAGGTTTGGCTTGTGCCTATGCAAAAGTGGCACATGAAGAAACCTTATCAAAGAACAAGAGTTGCTTGTGAAATAATTTTTAAAAACCTTTAATTTTTACCAGACATTTCAGCAAAAGTTCAGTTACTGCTACAAAATAGAAAATATTAAGAGAAGCTCAGTTGTTCTTAAAATGAACCATTAGATGATAGATTTGTAATATTCGTCCAAAAGAATGAGTCCAGAACTTTGTAACCAGAACTAACATTCTAAGTGTTTTGATACGCATTGCTTAACACTGAGTAACAGTTTTTCTCTTAACTTTTCTAAAATTGTACAATTATAAACATTGAATTGTGCTCTAAAATACCATGCTGGACTAGCTTTCAGATACGCCATTTTTCTTTGTTTTCTTTCTTAGTGTATATAATGCACAGATGTGAGCAGTGAATGGAGCAGTTAAAGGCAAAATGAATAGAATTGGTGTAGTTTAAGTATGACTTTTTGGGTTAAATAGAGTATTGTAGATAGATGCTTGTTTTGAAGAGGTAGATGTACGCACTGAAGAGTAAGATGAATGTTTTGGAGTAATGTAGCGCTTTCTCAATTCCTATGAAACTCTCAGGTTCGCCGCCCCCTCCAGTAAAGGTTCCTTCGGAGCCCCCTCAAGTTACTGCTAACTCAGTGCCGACTGTGCCACAGTTGCCCAGTTCTGATGCCTTTGCAGCTGTAGCTCAGTTGTTTCAAACAACACAAGGACAACAGGTAACCTGCTTATATCTGGTTCCCTTCTAACTTCCGTTTTTATGTTAAATGAGGGGGAAAAAATGATAGAAGTAATATCCTTGATTTGAAGCAAAACAAAAAGCCTCCCTAAGGTCTTCAGCAGAAAACTTCTAAAAGTTAAAGTCAGTATTTGAATGATCTGTGACCCTTCTATCCAGTAGTTATGATATTTGAGGAAGACTCAGTTATATATTCCTAAATAACTAGTTCTGAATTGATGCAGTTACAGAGTTTCAAGAACAGGCAGAATAAATCAAACAAAATGTTGAGTCTTATTGTTCAGTCCACTTAAATGTTTGCAGTGTTGAAAGGCCTGAATACTGAAATCTGGGGATCTGTTGAATTGTGCCACTTAAGTGTTTAAAAAGTGACCTTTGGTCTTGCTGAAAGTTCTCCATAGTTTAGTCAGCTGTTGTTATTGTTCATCCTGTGCCATAGTCTAGTTTGACGTAAAATTTATACCCGACAACTCTTTCAGTACCATGTGTTTATGTAAGAATATGTAATTAATACTGTTTCTGGTTTTGTAGCTTCAGCAAATTCTTCAGACTTTTCAACAGCCTCAAAAACCCCAGTCACCAGTCATAGATAACACTGTGATGGCTCAGGTTCAAGCTATTACTGCTCAGTTGAAAACTACAGCAGCACAACCACCAGAACAAAAAACTGCTTTCCCACCACCTGAGCAAAAAACATCATTTGACAAAGTAAGTCTTTATTTGTTCTTTGTGTTTAACTTTTTCAGTTCAGCAGAAGACTGTTTGATGGATGCCTCAATGTCCTCCATTTGTTAGGAGAAAAATGATGTAAATTTTGTTTTTTCTCTTTCCGTTTGGAGGTCAGCTTCCTGTTTTTATACCCTTTCATTTTCTGAAGCTGAATAAAACTGGTTTTGGACAGTTTCTGATTCTGTATTAGAATATAGGTTTGTCTCTTTTTTTCTTGATTCTAACCTTGTCTTTAATTCCAGAGCTGTTAAGATATATAGTAAGACTTCAGTAATAAGGATATTTTGGCTGCCAATTATATAAGATACAGAAAAAATAGTTGGCTCAATGTCATTTCTTTCAGAAGCTGCTGGATCGGTTTGACTATGATGATGAACCAGAAGCAGTGGAAGATGCAAAGAAAGAAGATTCAGCTCCTTCTCCTTCAGTTTCTCAGCCAGCTTTGTAAGTTCTGTGTCATAATAGAATTAGCAAATCTTTGTTCTAAAAAATCTGTAGGTTAGAAATTCCAAGTTACTTCAGTGCTTAAATAGTACAAAGTTAAAATGTTAACAACTTCTGGTGTGGTTTTTTGGTTTTTGTTCTTTTTTGTCTTTTTACTTTGGTGATCCAGTGTAGGTTTGGCATGTTGCATCATTGATTGAGGAATGTGTTCTGTAGAAAAAAGCTCAGTTTTGTTTTCAAGATGAGTTCTGTGTTTTTATTGCACAACTGAGTGTGTCAGGGCATTGTTAGTAATCAGCTGGATTGCTTTGCTGACTGGGGAAAAGGTGCTATTCCAAACATTGTGGTAGCTTTAACTATTTAAAAAATTAAAATTGGCTTTGCAGCTTTACGTTTTCAAACATTAAATACTCACGCAAACTAACTTAGGATCCTGTTTCCCTTTTGATATGCATTATGGTAAAGTCTTAAATTACATGATCACATACTAGTTTTTTCCACAGGACCTCTCTCTCATTCAGTGCACAGGCTGGATGGTGCTCAATACCTGGGTTAGTCAATATTTCTTTTTTCCCTGCTTCAGTATGTGGCCCCATGTCTTACTTTCTGTATATGCCATCCAAACCCTGCTCTCAAAAACAGAATCACTAACTTTGTCATTAGCTTTCTTACTGTGTTTATCACTTTGAGCACTTTAATGTTCCACAAGTATTAGTTAATTAAAATGCCTTTTAAGTAAATTGGTAGCATTTTCCCTATAATACAGATGGAACTCTGGAGTACAGAAAAATGAGGTAGGTCAAACATAAGCACTGCTTGAGTATGCCCAACTAGAGATCATTGGACTAGGCTTTTCAGCATGTTTATGTTCTGTTTGTAGCACTTCAAAGCCTCTGTCCTTACTGCCTTATAGTTGTGTAACATGCCTCTGAAGATTGGATTCCAGTAGTCTTATTGTGGGCACACAAAATCAGTAATACTCTATATGAAAAAATGATCTGTGCGGAATCATCTAAGAATTATATGGCACCTGTGTCTTAAAATACTACAAAGTTCCATTTCACATCACCATGAAAGTCCTTTATCTTCCTGAAATCCTGTTCAGTTTTTTACACAAACTGCATCCTGTAAACAGGTCCTATTAACTGCACAGACCTCATTAAGTCCCTGAGCACTGTCCATTCTGTGTGTTGAATCAGGAAGTGAATGGCATTACTGTAATCCTTGAGTGATATACATATCCCTTTCTCCTCTGCCCTAAATTCCTCCTGAATTGAAGTTTTTTTCCCAGCGAAAGTATGCCCAATTTATTTTCCTTGAGGAAAAGGCTTACGTCTTTTGTTCCCAAAAGAGGAACTGGAAATGAAGAAAGTTAGCCTAAGGCAGACAACCTTCATGAAGAATTTCCATAGACTGAGATCTTTAGCAAGATCATACAAGTACAGGGGGAAGAGAGGCATAAACCTTTATGTAGCATTTCTTTAAATGTTGAAGGACTACTCTTAGAGTGGAGAAAAGATAAAGAAGCCACTCTGTCTCTTGTTTTTGTTTCCACTTTTTAGAGAGGAAATGGGATTATAATAAAGATAATTTTTCTGTCTAAATTGGAAGAAAGAGTGTGTAAATGTACATAGAAATATGTAAAATAAAGGCAAAAAAACCGTGTATATCTATTGACTTGTCTCACCTAAATATTACCGGTTTTAGTGGATTTCCAGGAGAAGGTATACAACAGCCAGTATTTCCTCAACTCCCAAATATGGATCCTTTTCAGCAGCGAATGATGGGAATACAGCAAGATCCAATGCGTCACCAGGTAACTTCAGGGTTTTCCCTTGTCCCTCTGTTATGTTTTCTATCTTTTGTTGTTTTCTTTGGTGCAGAAGTAAGGAAGTGGTGTTCCTATGGTGAAGTGTGAATATGGCTTAGCCCTCCAACTTTCCTAAGAAACGTATTTTTGTTCTCTGTTCCAGTCAAGCTTTGAAGAACAAGATTTTTATTTTATATACCTGAATGCTTGACCTAATTCATCTTTCTCAGGCTTCTGGTCTTTTACTGTGACTTTGGAGCAGAGATACGATTTTATTGGGAAAGCTGATGTAATTTTTTTTTTCCTAACTGGAAGTTTTCGTGTTTTTTCTTCTCAAAAGGTTCCACTTCCTCCTAATGGGCAAATGCCAGGTTTTGGTCTCCTGCCTACGCCACAGTTTCCACCCATGGCTCAGCCTGTGATTCCGCCAACAGCACCTGTGCAGCAAACTTTTCAGTCTCCTTTTCCAGTACAGAGTGAATCACACATGCAAAAAACACATCAGCAGGTGAGGACCCCTTGCAGTAAACAAACTAACTTAAATGCTCTAATACATGTCTTTCTCAAATGTGTATAATTTCTTCAGGAGAGGAAATTTCATGATAACCATGGACAGAGATGGCTGTGAGGTTAGCTCATCTGAGAGAAAGTTGGATAGCTGCAGTGCTACATGACAAGTCTGGTATTTCAGAAGTCTAGCAAAACCAGCATGTGTATGCTTTGTGCCTCCTTTTGTGAAAGGCTTTGGATTGCATTTTGTCCTTCCACTTCTCACTTTCCCTCATCCTCCCTTTCCTGTACCCATCATGCTTCAGGAATATTTTGTTCCATGGAATTCTAACAATGCAGTCTCATTCTGGAGAAAAACTATCTGGAAGGGTTAATTTTTAAGGCCCTGGTAGATCACTAATATGGTGGAAATGGACTCAGAAGTCTGTAAAAGTTTTAAAAAATCCAAGTGTAATGTAAACAGCTCTCTCTTGTTCCTAAGATGTTGGAGGATATTGTTGGTTCAGTAACTGGCTGCTATTAAGAAGAAATCAAAGAGCAAGTCTATTTATGAGCCTGTATTAAAAAAAAAAAAAAAAAAAGTTGAATATATTTGCCTTTTGTTCCAAGGAAAGGAAATCCGAAATGAGAAATAGAGATGGCACCAAGCTGTCTTTGTGATGACCTGTGATGTCACAGATTCTAGAATATTCTTGCTTTCCACTTGGAATAAAGGGACAATTCTTAAGAGTATCTTTGTAATTGTTTTTTTAGTCTTGAATTCTCTTGAATCAGTACATTCTGAGAGGTTGCTTGGTGGGAAGCTGTAGAGGATTTGGGCTAGGAAGGAAGAGCTGTGTTGAACTTACTGGGTGGGTTTTTTTAAGCAGGTTCTTGCATTTTATGTATTGTTTTGATGACTTACTGCTTCATTCTTCAAATTTATTGTATTGTAATTTGCTTATATATATGGCTTAAAGTAGTTTCCTATAACATCATGGAGAAGAGTTTTCTAGTAGGCCTTCCTTTGCCTGTGATTTTGATGACAGAGCAAGATCCACTGACTTGACCTTAAGGAATATAACCATATTCTGTGGAGATATATGTGGTGCTGAAATTGACTAAAATATGGAAAAACAATAATTTGCAAATTGAAAATGAGAATTTTGTGTAAATTATTTTTATTATGTTCTTGTAGTGGTTGTATTAAGTTCATTTAATACTGGACTGTCTCCCTGTTAGAGACTACAAAGTCGTGGTGAATCAGGAGAGTTGCATTACATTTTAATTTCACATATGTGAATATTCAATATAATTTTAGTGCTATTACATAATTTAGTGTAGGCATAAAATGAAATAAAACACTTGTGCTACTCACCCGTAACACCAGTCAACTTAATATTTTAGGATATGGAGGTGGAACAGCCACCAATTCAAGAGGGAAAACGACATGTTTCTGACAACAGAAAGTCAAGATCTAGATCCGCATCAAGGTAAATTAGTGAAAGTTCTTTTAGTGAGGGTATATATATCAGGTATTGGATTTTAACATAAGGAACTTAAGTGTGTCATGTCCAAAGACTTGAAAACGCTTTACTAATTCTGTACGAGTACTGAGGAGAGTTATGCTGATAATCTGGAGCTTGGAGAATCTGGTGCTGTGCTGCCAAATCTGTTGTGGGGTGGTAACTTCTAATTGAGATGGTGGTAAGTAGCTGAGAGGTGAGCTAACTCCTTGAACTATTGGTGGAGCTCGTTTTCAGTGCCTTAGAACATAGTCCTCTTACTTGTATTTCAAGTTGGCTTCTTGGGTGCCTGGCTCAGCTTACTTCCTCTGTGGTCATTTCTTGTAAGTGCCCAGTTGTGCTGTACAAGTTGGATTCTATGACTAAATGCCAAAAGACACATTTAGCAAAAAAGTCCATTTCAATTTAATTTAAGGATTAATTACAAGAAATTACTGTCTGTGTATTATTCTCTGCATGGACAACACTAGTGAAATTTCTTGGTAAAGTCAAAACTGTCAAGGGCTTTATTTGAATTGCCCTTCTGGAAGAGAGGAAAAAAAGAGACCCTTTCAATCTCTTACCTCTAAGGGAGCTGTGTATAAATACAGCTAAATGTTGTATGTGCTTCAATGCAGTGGTAATGAGAAACAGATTAGTGACTTAAGACGTGTGAACCTCAAAGTTGTCCACTTTCTAAGGAAGAGTGGGTATCTATAGAGTTCTCTTATTGGTAGAGAGTAACTTCTATGCCTGTCAATACTGACTAAATTTTAGAGAAGCAGAATGTGATAGCTTAATTTTGTCTGTGCTCTAAAGACACACAAGGAAATCCATCGTACTATGGGACTTTGCCTGTCACAGACGCAGTATTTCACATGTCTCAGCTGACCTAACAAACCTGGCTCCAATATTAAAGCAAAGCTATCTACTTTGTTATGAGTCTTCTCCTTTGCCAAGTTTCATATGATTTCTTTGAAGTTTTACCCTGTCTTCCAGACCTTGAGTGGTTTAGAACTTTAACATGATGTAAAATACAATTTCACTGGCAGAATTTATTTTTAATCTCTTTTTTAGCCATTCTTTTGTAAAAGCAATAAACATTTTCCTCATTTAAGCAGATGTCATTTTTTCTATGTTAACGTGGACATAGTTTTGATAGTCAACTTCAATACAAAATTAATAGAAGATAAGAAATTGAAAAATAATCAACTGTTTAGCTGGAGTGCATTAATGAGCTACTGTAATAATTTATTCTTGTTCTAAATGCATGTGAATGAGCTTGGATTTTTTTTTTTTTTGAGTGAACTCTTGCCCGATTATTTAAATAGATATCTGAAATAGTTATCTGTCTGTCAATGTCTGGGTCAGAAAGATTGAACATAAACGGTTGTTGGATTAAACTAGGTCACCTAAAAGGAGACGTTCAAGATCTGGCTCCCGATCTCGAAGGTCACGTCATCGTCGATCTCGATCTCGGTCCAGGGATAGACGCCGACACTCTCCTAAGTCTCGGTCACAAGAAAGACGTGAACGTGAGAGGGAGAGAGAACGCAGATCAAAAGGCCTTCCTCAGATCAAGTCAGAAACTGTTAGTGGTAAGTTTATTCTTCCTCTTTATTGTTGATGTAACTCTGTACATTCTTGTAGTACCATTTTTCAGATGCTCAAAATCTTCCTTGTTCATATATGGAATTGTTTTGTCTGTGCCCAGTATTTTCTTTAATGAATATTAGAGCTCTGTGAAGTTGAAGATATTACAGTAGATACTATGCCTACATAAAATGGAATACTAAGAAGACAAACAGGTGTTTTAGAAAAACTGTAAATGTTGAAGAAATACACTTTTTGTATCTATTAGACTTTTAAAAAAAATTTAACATTGACAAGTCCACTTACCTTCAGTATATGATATCTGCTCGGAATACCCCAGAAGACAACTCTTAATCTGATGTGTGTTGTTTTTTAAATTTTTTTGTTCCTTCTTCTTGGGTTTAATGCTGTTTGTGGGTTCCAAGACTCATCCAAACAGAATAAAAGTAAACAGTACTGTGATTTATTTTCTGAACTGTTGTAAAGCTGGTAAGAATTAAATCCACCACACATCCATGTACTTCCTTTACTCATAGTAGACTATTTGGCAGTTTTGGAATATCTCTAAGTCAGAAATATTTTGGCTGTAAAATGGGGAAAGAAAAAGCTGAAACACCATGATTTTCTTTTCCTTCCTTCAGGACATATAAGGTAAAGCAGATTGAGCAACAAGAAGTTGAGCACATTATTACGATTTTTCTAGTGATTCAATGTTGTGTGTCTTTCAAACCAGGAGGGGAGCTTTGACCTGGAAAACACACAGGCTAATGTTCAGATTTCTGAAATAATCCTGACTTTGCCTGTGTTAATAGACAAAATGTAGTAGTTGTCTTCTGAATATACCTGGGGAGTGTGGAATCTTCTCTGGAGTTATCATGTAAAATGAGAACATTCTTTTTTATATACATGTATATTTCTAAGTGCTCTTACAATCTGTGTTAACTCTTTAATTGTAGTTTGTAGTACTACGCTTTGGGTAGGACAACTTGACAAAAGGACAACTCAACAGGATGTTGGAAGTCTTTTGGAGGAGTTTGGCCCAATTGAATCAATAAATGTAAGTATAAATGATGCAGTGTAAGCTACTTTGATGTGCCTTGGTTACAAAAAGTCTTTTCAGACTGTTTTAAGACAGCTTTATTTTTGATACATTGAAAAGAGTCAAGAGCTCTCATTTTCTATATGGTTGTGTTTTCTAAGGTGTGAACTTAATTCATTTGGCTGCTGTGTAGAAAACCAAGAAGGCAGTAGCTTTAGTTTCTTGAAATTTAAAAATGTGCTTGGGGTAGTACAGAAGATTATCCCATTTTCATAAAAAACATGCTTTCTCTGGAGAGAATTGAATGAGAAAGGGCTATTGAGGAGATGGGTACAGAATTACATACTGTGCTACTAATTCCTTGACTGCTCCATTTTGTTTGATTATAGAAATGTGGACTCTCAGCTGGTGTTCTTGTGTCTTTTGCTTGTTTCTTTTCTGTCATTTTAGTCATAATCATGGAGAACTATTGTTAGGCTTTGCTGTATTTAAGGATATTTTTATATATAAATGGTAGCTGTTCCTGTAGCTATAAAATTTCACTTAAACAAACAAAAAAGAAGTGACTGTAATTTTCTTCCTATTCCCAAATATTGTAAAACAAGACAGAAGTTTTTTCTCAAATGCATTACAAATAATAAAAATTATTACAAAACTGCAGATAAAACTGAATGTGGAGGTGCAGCTGGCAGCTTGTGGTATATGGAATGAAGTGGGGTATTAGTGCCTTGTTTCCTCCAACAAAGTAACTAATTGTCAGACCACAGCATTTACATAAATACTACTGTTTAAGAATTTAAAGGATTAAATATACAACAGTCATCCATATTCTCACATGGAATAGAGCTTAAAACTTTCCACATAAGAAGTTGCTTTTAATTTACTAGAAATGTGTACCAGAAGATGCTGGCTATCTAAGCCTCGTAAAATAACAGTCTCTTTCGTACTTCCATAGTCCTTTTTGAAACACCTGCTGATGTTCCAGCTTACTGTAATTGAACACTTGTATGTTGTTCATTACTTTGTTAATGTGCTAGCAAAACCAATTTTTTTTCTGAAAATACAAACAGATGATACCACCTAGAGGATGTGCCTATATTGTAATGGTTCACAGACAAGATGCTTACCGTGCCCTACAGAAACTGAGCCGAGGAAACTTCAAAGTCAATCAGAAATCTATAAAGGTACTTCTTGGAAAATGTCAGGCTGTTCTAAAGTTACTGTAATTACTGTAATCCTTTTTAATCTGTTCTAGACTTTTGGCTATTTTAGACTTTTGTGTATTCTGCATATGGTGTTCTGTAAATTTATGTGAATGGACCAGTTTTTTTCTTGATAAGTATTCTTCCTGTTCTGTAATGTGGCTAGTGGGACTTGTATCAGTTTCCTTGAAAGACTGCCAATAATTGTCTATTTAACCAACAAAAATGGTGTCCTTTTAGACATTACAGTGGACTGTAACTATATTTTTCTTATTGGTGGTTATTTGTCTTACAACTGAGTTTAATTATATATGATAATCCTATAAAGAGTACTAATAAGTAAGGAAGAATGCATTCATTAGTGAAATTTTTCCTTTTGTAGAACATCATATTAGAGTGTGACACTGTCCTCTGAAGGGAAATAGAATTAATTTTAGTGACTGGGGAACACTTGAAGAAACTACCTTTATACATTTTTACAAATTGAGTGCAGGAGTCAAGCCAAAAAATAAGAACTGAGGCTGCTTTAAAAAAGTCTTATTTCAGAGATTCGTAACTAACCTATTTTTCCTGCTGTTTCGATTACAGTATTCTTTTTGCTTTTTAGCCTCAAATGGTAGTGCTGTTTTGTGAGAACTAAATATTAAATCCATTAAAATGGAAGCATTTTACTGACTATGTATGTTTTCCACCCCCAAGATTGCATGGGCTTTGAATAAAGGAATAAAGCCAGATTACAAGCAGTATTGGGATGTAGAATTAGGTGTTACTTACATACCATGGGACAAAGTGAAACCTGAAGATCTTGAAAGTTTCTGCGAAGGAGGAATGTTGGACAACGAAACTCTTAGTCCAGGTAAAGTGTTGGTACATCTTTAAATGGTTTTAAAAAAATTGTCCTTTGTGCTGGTGTATTGAAGTTGGTGTGGCTGACTTTCATGATGCTGTGGTGCACATAAAATCCTTGAAATGGCTAGGTAGTGCAGCATGCATAACCTGTAAATTGGAGAGAGTTTGTAAGCAGTTAATGACAGTCCCTCATCAGGAGTTGTGCAGCTGTGTTTCAAGGGGCTGGGCTAAAAAAGCATGTGGATACCAGGTGACCTGTCAGCTGTGCTAGTATTTGCCCTTGATGGTAAGGCATGATCCAAGTGAGTTGTACTTGTTAGTCCCAGAGCCAGCTTGCCCACCGCCCTGGTTTATGAGAGGAACCCCCTAGGAAAGGAGCCTGCCTTTGGAGTACTTGTGTGGCAATTGAGCTGATGGCAACTTTATAATTTCTAAAAAACGTGCCTATGGTTTTCACGCTTGTGACATTTTCAGTTCCTTTAGCAAGTCTTGTATTTATAGGGACCTAATAGATTTCTTGTTATTTTGCATGTAAGCAGTGAAAATATCAGGCTTCTATGGTTGTATTAAGAAAATGACACCTGCTATAATCAGCAGCTTCAAATCAGTTACAGGCTTCAAACCAATATAGAGTCGCTAGTGTGTTGGCTGTTGTGATTTTAAAATTAATATTAAATGAATGCAATACTTAAAAATTGGAATTGCCTTAAGTTCTTTGGATTGCTGCTCCAGACTACTGTGTTGGTTTTAACCACTGTGTGAAGTGCTATCTAGTTATTGAAACATTATTTCAGGGTTTTGTCATTCTGTCCAATTTGCCCTAATTAGGTGGTGATTATTATGAATAGTAGCATCTCTTCATGATAAATACACAAAAATAAGTTGAGTGTGTATTTTAAATGAAAGTAACGAATTATAAACATAACCTCAATGCGTTCCAGTCTTATCAATGCTTTTCTCTTTCCCATAATGCCTCTTCACTGATCTATTTTTTTCTGCTTAGCTGTCTTTTCCCAGGAAGTTCTGACAAATAATAGGAGCCATATTTCTTCTATAAAATGAGCTTAAAGCTATTTTTGATGTTTCTCTTATTTTGCTGCGATTCTTTATTGTTGTATTCTCCTTTTCCTTGTTGAAGACTTGAAAATGTTGTTTTCTCAGAAATTACTTCTTGAATTAGTGAAAAAGGTGCTACCTTCTTGCTCGAGAGCAATGGAATGAATCTGTTGAAAGCTTGTCCCAAAACAGCCTTACTGTTTTTGTTACAGATAGTGTGTTTCAGAGTCCTGGGCATGTATAAATGCTGTCAGTGCGAAGAATTGTTAAATAACTAATGAAAAGAATAAATTTACTTGCTATGTTTCAGTGATTTGCTGTAGTGTGTTTGAAGTAATTTGGAATTTTTATTGGCAGGAAATATGTTTAAATGCTTCTTAGCTCTGTTCTTCGGCTACTTGCCCACTTCTACTGAGCTGATACATGTATGTTTGGGGTTTTTTTTTTGTATAGAGTGGAAGGGGATTCCCAAGAAGTCTGAAAATGAAGTGGCTCAAAATGGAGGCGCAGAAGCTACACATAATGAACCAGTGTCACCTATTCCTAAAGCTTTACCTGTTCCAATTCCTGTTCCTATGCCTGCACCAATAACAGTACCTCCTCCACAGGTAAGAGTTGCCTTCTCATTTGCTCCGGATGTCTAAACAAAGACTTACTTTAAATAACAATTCAGTACGGCAATGCATAAGTTAAGGAGAGGGAGGAAGTACTATGAATGATAACTAGTTGATTTTGTGTGTGTCATGTTGTTGTCCCTGGTTAAAAATGCTCTTGTTAGCAGACTTGCTATGCTGTCAGTTTATGAAGATAACTCTCCTGTGCCATAAATCGAGTATGCACCTGAAGTCCATCATTTGAGCTTCTTCATGTAAAAAAGCAATACAGTCTCGTAGAAGAATATTCCTTTTCTGCTAAGCCACAGTGGCAATGGAGGACTTGGAAAAAACCAAACCCATTAGGGTTTGAAGCATGTTTTGTGCCCAGCAGGAGCAGAGCATCTGGTTTGATTTCCCTGAAAAGGGATGTAGTTTGCATGTACCAGAACAGCCCTGGAAACTGAGTCAGCATGTGGTTAGTGGAAATGATAGAGGATTTGCTCCAAAACCTTGTTGCTGCTTTAATGCTAATGTAGACAGAGTGTATGTGTGTCTGCCAGATTTTTATTTGATGTATTGTAGGACTGTACTTTAATATCTCTTCTCTCAGTTCCGAATAAATTATTGCAGTAGATTCTTCTTATTAATGGGCTGAATTGCATCCTCTCAGTTTTATGATTGCATTTTTTGTTTGTTTTCCTAATTAATTTTCCTCACTGTTGGCTTAAATAAGCTATAGACCTTTTAAAATATGCACATTGCTTTTATGTTTGTTCATACTGTGTATACTCTCTTTCAAAAGCCTTTGGGAATTTAATATAAAAATTTTCATACTCTTTCTCTTCAGTCAAAGCTGATGTTGTAAGTTCATTCGCTAAAAGAACACTCTGAAATTTTACTGTTAGTTTAAGTAGCGTGTAATAATAATTACTCCCTCCAGGGTTTTGTAATCTGTATTTCTTTTAGCTTTACTTATTGACAGACATGTTACTACTTTTATAGTAATAATTTCTTTCTTGTCACTGTTAAAATAGTAGTATACCTCCTCCCAAATGGGAGGAAGTCTAAATTAAACTATTTTACGTCTTGAGAAAATGTGTTTATGAACTACAATATGGCAGACACTCAGAAAAGATCAAGAACTCAAATTATTTGAAGACATATATAATTTAGCCAATTATGTGATTTGAGAACATATGTTGAATTTTGTGTTGTTTTGACACAGAATTCCTGAAATGCTGTAAGGTATTATTAGTGAATGAACACCTAAGTCAAATTTCTAATTTCAGAGGTTTTTAATAGCCATTAACTGTAATAAATAGTAGTGATTTTGTTTATTTTGCAAATCCATTCTGAAAAAGAAAATGTAAAGAAAAAAGCCAACTAGTTTGAGAATATATTGAGTGTGCTGATTGCTTGTCTCAGCCTCATCAGCTTCAGTTTTTTACTATGGCAAAGAAGCTTGTGTCTTCACAAATTCAGACCAGGATCAGAGAACTGTATTTAGTCTTCGTGTTTGGTTTCGCTATGACCTTTTTTTATGCTGTTTAATACTGACCAATTCAGTTTTCTTCTCTGGCCATAAAATTACAATAGTTCAATAATTTGTAAATAGTTCTTAAAACTTACAAATTAAGTTCAGCTGTGATGATGTTAGTAGTCTTACTAAAAGTAACATGTTTTGTAATATGCAAATGTGACCTAATACCTAAAAGGAAAAAGCTCATTATATTCCACTTCTTTTGTTTAAATAACTTTGTAGAGTACCATAGCATTTTAATTAACTGAGGTATTTTTGTCCTCTGATACAAATGAAAGAAGTTCTGCTTGTATTTGGCTTCAGTGTTCGGAACCGTAAGAGGTGGGGAGGTAGTTATGAGTGCTGGGTAGCTGCTCATGCTGCCCAGCCTGGAATGGGCATCAGTACACTGGTACCAGGTTGCTCGATCCGTCTGTCCAGCTGCTCCTCTGTTAGCCATGGAAAGCACCCCGCCCACCCTGGTCCCTCTGACTGGAGAAGCAGGTTTGATGCGTGTGATATGTCAGAACAGGCTTTATGCATTGTCCTGATTCAGGCTGCAGTGATCAGGCATAGGGCTGCCTGGCAGATAACCCCAAACAGCTTTGACTACATGATTCCCATAACTTACTCCCTTTTTTTTCACTTCCTAACCTTCCTTTTTGTTGTGCTTTTGCTTCCCTTTCTCTACTCCAGTCTCCTCCCAAGTAAACAACTCTCCCATAATTATTTTTTTCCACGGTGGTCCCAGTTTTGCTGCATCTCTACCCAGATTTGCTATTTATGATACAATTACCTAAGTAATATTGTCATAGTATGTATTCCTGGATATGATTACTTATGCACTGTTGGCCTCACAAGGAAGGTCCTTTTTCCTGTAAGATCCCCAGTGCTCCTTTCTGGTTATCTGTGAAGTTTGGCTATTGTTCACAAAGCACCTTGTTAACCAGCTGCAAAATCCAGCTATCCTTTATGCTGCTGTCTGTAACTTGTCAGCTTCTCACATTGTTATCTGTCATGTCTGGCAGTTTCTTGTATTGTGTCCAGTAGCTTCTCATGCCCGTAATGCCCTCCATGCCCTTTCTCATGAAGCTTGACTTCAGGCCAGGGCCTAGTCAGCAGCTTTGTGGTCTGCCCACAGCGCTGACAATCCCACACTTAAAGGCAGGACGGGAAGGAGCTGCATTACTCCTTTCTCTGGTAGAGCCTGAATGGGCCTTCTGTGCTAGCCCCCTGCATGGGCTGCACACATAGGGATGGAGCCCTGGTCCACTGGACGTTACCTGTGACCAGTGTAACTCACTGCAGACTGACCTTCTGTTACTGCCAATATCACCTTGACCCATGAATGCAATCTCTATGTAGTAAGGCACTTAAAATCGGTAATGTCCTTTTAAGAGTGATAGCATGCATAGGTAAGTCTGATTCTTTGGCCTCAATAGCACACCCAGCCTTTTCTCAGCCACAGGGTCCTGGGTTGTTGACAAGATAGGTGAAATACTTCTGTTGTGTTGTGCTGCTGGAGTGAGCCCTTTTCTTGCCTATAGATTCAGGTGTCTGAGCTGTTGCTGAATCTGGTCCCACTCCTGCAGGTCTGAGTAATCCACCTCAGTGGTCCGCTCTGAGGGTAGGTCTGTGTTTATTTTTAAGTCATATTGCAGTGTCCAAGATCAACTTAAGTCTGTTTCTTGGTTACTGAGAGTCAGTTTCAGTTAATAGCACTTGTGATATCACTTGCTTTGCACATTCATTGATGAGGTTTTGGGCAATTGGTATTCCATTCTCCTGGCAAAGCTTGGTATTACCCTACCCAAACTGTCAGGCTTTGCCAGGGTTATACATTGCAGTCCAGGGGGATTGCTGTGGCCACCCTTTCCATAAATTTCCCAATCCAACCCAAAGTCCCTTTTCTTCATTTAATGCCTTTTCAGCCAGAAACTGGAGTCCAAGTTGAGTGTGTACCTCCCAAATTTCCTGATGTATTCATCAATCCCACATGCTCCTTCTCCCTCTAACTAGATGTGGGAGTTGTGCATTGGTCCAATATCCATCCCGTACCCCTTGTACTGAAACTGGCAGACTCCTCCTTTGCTGTCTTCCTGCTGGAGACTCCAGGTGTGCTTAAATGTATATTTAATTGTTTTGGAGCACTGTAGGTAGACTGTGCTCCTTTAGTTCACAGGGCCAATGATTCTCCTTCAAGTCTAAATCTGAGAGGTGTGCAGTAAGAAATAGTTGTACTTGAACACAAGCTAAACCCCAAGACATGTTTATTGAGATGCACCTGGCAGTCTGCATTACAGTTATTGAGAGGTTAGTTATTCCAGTTTCCAATGTTGCTAGTAAAATACCAGGTTTTCCCAATATTTGTCTCCCTAGTAGCATTTTTGTTGCTTTGTTTTATCCAATTCATTAGCTATTATTCTGAAACTATTCACCAGTCCTCTGTGTTTGTTATCTGTCAATGTTTATTAGCCATTGGTTCCATCTCTTTAATGAACAGAAACTTTATACTTCAAACTGTATTTTAAATGAGATGTTGTGACATTTACGCACAGATTTTTACCGCCTTCCTTTTTTCTTTCTGCTTAAAGGAAAGGTTTTAATATGTTACTTACAATTATGTATTAGAGGGTTAACTTAGGAAAAAAATTAAGTACAGCAGTTAAGCTTGGATAATTAGGTATGAATATCCTCTAATACATATCTAAATCATCTTCCTTTGATGTTACTTTTATTCTGGTTCCATCATAATATTTTACTATTCACTGTACCATCTCAAGCCATTGCGTATACATGCTTCATGCACAGTTTTCTCAGCTTTTAACTACTTAAGGACTGACAGCACTTAGCAAGTTTCCCCTCTTTTTTAAACCTTTTTGCCTTCTTGATACCCCTCCTCAATTCCTTCTGCTATGTACACACTCTGTATGTGAATGCTTGTTTCATAGAACATTACTGCAATCAACAGATCTGTCGCTATGTCTAGCTAATTTTGTAAGTTGTTCTTTGAAGGAGTGCCCTGTAAAACAAACAGAAAGACCTACTGAGACTATTAGGTTACTGTGGTTTTGGAGCACTTTTTCTAAAGCTTTAATTAATGGACAGCTTCATTAATGTGATTAATGGACACACCTCTAGGGTTACTTAGTGTTCATCTAGGTAGTTTTGGCCTCATATGGTACTCCTAGGTGTGCTTACCTGTGTGTGCGCTGTTGGCCTTGCAAGGTCCTAGTCCCCAGAAGGTCCTCATTGCTCCTTTCAACTTCTCTCTGAAGTTTGGCTGTTATTCACATAACACCCCCTAACCACCTGCAGGATCCAGCCATCCCTCATGGTGCCATGTGTAACTTTTGTCAGCTTCTCACATAGTTATCTGTCATGTCTGGCAATTTCTCCTGCCCTATCCAATAGTTTCTCACATCCTGCTCAGTTAGCTTAACTTCAGGTATGGCCTAATCAGCAGGTTATTATAAACCAGTAAATAACCAATTTAAAACTAAAAATAAAAAGTGGCGGTCTACACTAAAGCCTAATGAATTAAAGCCTATTGTAATTAATTGATTTTAAAATTCTAATAGCACAAGTTTTAACGTGCCTCAGCTCACTAACCTACGCATTGGTAAAGATCTTGCAACAGAAGTTTGAAGTGGCTAAAGCTGCCAAGCAGCTGATACATCTCCTCCAGTTTTAAGAATATTTTGCTTACTTTGGTTTAATGCCACTTCTTTCAGTTCTGAGAATAAAACAGTAAAGGCTTTTCCTTCTTTACTCTAGAAATAAAAAATGAGTTATGAAGGGTCTTGGTGTAGTAGTTCTGAAATTTTGATGGTTGTGGAGGTGAGTCAGTTATGATCACTTGAGTACACACCTCTCCTTTGCTTTAGTAAATCAATTTTAAATGCAGAGCATATTTTGATTAAATTTTTTTCTTTTGATTCCCACGCATTTAATATAGTTTTTATAGTAAGCTCATATTTATAAATGAGTCTATGGATCAACTTAGTTTAAACCAGTTTTCATTCAGAGCTTGATATAAATCAGAATTTAAAAAAATAAAAGTAAGGAAACAATAGTCACTCTTAATATATACAAACTCAGGTAGCGAAAAAGTTTTTAATTGCTCCAAAGTTGTGTGCATTATAGTGTATCATGTTGGATGGTAAAATTAATTCCAGCTACTGTGTAAAGGGTATATTTAGATGAGTTACCAGCATGCATGAATATCAATTTACCACAGAGAATAATTTTTTCTTTAAGAACAAAGGCAAACAAGATCAATGTTGATATGTTAAGTTGTAGGAATTCTTTGACTGCTAATTAGATCAGTTACGTGAGTCACTTTGTTGTAGAGTAACTTAAGGTAGCTTAATTTTTCTTGTTTTGATGGACAAAGCACAGAAGACAGCAGTCCACAGCTGAGCAACAAATAATCCCTTTCAGTCTTGAGGTAAATATTTTTCCCATTCTTTTTTTCTTAGGTTCCACCACATCCATCAGGTCCTCCTGTGGTTGGTGCACTCCAACCACCTGCTTTCACAGCACCTTTAGGAATCCCACCTCCTGGATTTGCTCCTGGAGTGCCACCACCACCACCGCCTCCATTTTTACGACCTGGTTTCAACCCAATGCATTTACCCCCAGGTATATTTATATATTCTTAGGAATAGCAAGTCCTTTTTTTAATCATATAGCAAATAAAAGCATCTGCCATATAAACTGCACAAGTACGTTTTGGTAAAGTGATACACAGTGGTAATACATACTTTTTTTATAGGCTTTCTTCCTCCTGGACCACCACCACCTATAACTCCTCCGGTATCTGTTCCTCACACTCCGGCAGTAAACATCCCAAATTGTAAGTGTTTAAATCTTGGGCAAGTGGCAGTAGGAGGAAGGTATCATGCAAGCAGAAAAGCTGACTTTTTTTTTAATATGTCAATGCATTGTTTCTTAGCTACAGCAACTGGTGTGAATGAAGACACTACAAAAGATTCATCTGTAGGAAATCCCATCCCAACAGTGGTTTCTGGATCCAGAGGGAATGCCGAAACTACTGATAGTTCCAAAATATATGGGACTGTTCCACCTCCTGTAGCACCTACTAATGTACCTGCTCCTGTGACCCAAGCTATTCCACTTCTTGGTAAGTTCATTTTTTGTATATGTTCTTCAGTTTATTGTTCCCTGAATTTAAAATATGATTTTGATTTTGCTAGTGACGTACAGTTCATGGGAAAGTAAAGCAGATTTTCCTAAACTTATTGAAATTTGTGCCCTTCTGTTGGCTTTTAAATCATTTTTAGAGGCTTGATTTTGCACAGAAGGAGCAGTAATTTTTTTATTATTGAAGATCTGTTTTCTGAAGAAATAAAAAGGCTGTAACATTTAAGTTAGAAATTCAGAACAGAATGAAATGCTGTCCACTTTTAACAAACTGAGGCTTATACCATATAGAAAATTCACTTGCAACAAAACATCTTTATGACATATGAACAATGTTTCAACTCAACTATTGCATGTATAAAATTAGCTTACAGAGAAGCAGTATTTTTTATAGTGTATTTCTTAAATCTGAAAATATGGTATACTTTTTATGTATGGAATAAATTATTTTAATAAAATGATAAAACAAAAGCTTTTATTTAGCCCTGCAGTATTACAGGTTTTGAAACCTTTTTAACAATATGTTGCCTTATTTCAATGTTACAAAATGGTATTTTGACTAGCAAAACCAAGCTAACTTTGGATATCTTACATAAATTACTTTTCACGATACGATACAAACTTGGTCAAACTTTTACAGAGTGTATACTGTTTAATGTTGCAGAGGTTCTGCTAAATATTTATTTTAGGATGGCCTTTTATGGGTCAGTGTCAAGAATATACTCGGGAGACTTATTTCCTACAAATTTTAATAAGATTTTTACATTTATGGGATTTCAGACCTCTAAATGAGAGCCTAACAAGTGAATGAAAAAGATAATTTTGTTTTAGTGTGTTTCTGCCCAGAACCTTACAGTTTATGCTGAAAAAATCCAAAGATTTGTGTCCCTGAGAGCTTACTGCTCTTATTGGATTTGATGGCTAAATTTTCCAGCCGTGACTAGTGATTTTTGGATCCTCATGTTGGAAACCCGAAATGAGACCCTTTTAAAAGGCATTTTTCAAAAAGTGAAGAGCTGTTTCTCTCTGAAAATCAGTCTGCTGATAAAAAGTATCAAAGCAGATATGCAAAACCAGAAGCTAATTGTTTTAGAGTATCTTGGACACTTGGCAAACAGAGAAAAGCTTAAAAAAAATTCTGCAGTGACACCATGGATTGAGAGAAGTCTGTAGTGATACAGATTATTGGACTATACATTTAAGACATTCACATCTTAATGATGAAGTTACGCTTTTTGTAATTGTAAAACAGTATTACCAGGTTTTTTGAAGTTTCATGGTGCTATGTCTTGTATGGCATAACTTGAACTTTTTATTCCAAGCCTTTAGAATGTATTAAGTTACAAGAAAAAGGTTTTAGAAAATTAAGATTGAAGTGAAGTAAATTACATACCCACATTAGTTACTTGGACAGTAGCTTTTTTTAATTCTTACAAATTCAAGGAAGCTGAATTTGAGAAATCGGAAGATGAAGAACTTGCCTTTGTTTTTACTAACTTATTTACTGAATAGTTGAGGCAGATAAAATTGTCCATGTGGTCAGAATGACTTCTGTCAACATTCAGTCTCATCAACAAGGGGATAGGAGAGTTTCTTTTTATAAGAGTGCATGTGTGAGCTTACAGAGTAGTCCTGAAGAAACAGCTTAGAGATCTGTGTATTTACTTAAGTAATAGCATTTTATGTTGATAAGTGTCTTATTTCAAGAAGTTATTTATAATCAAGGAGTAATGTAAAATCATTCCATCCTGACATTTTGGAGTTAAGGGGGACTGTCCACAGTCTGATATAAGATACAAGAAAACTAGAAGAAAAAGATTATAATATTTTACATGATTAAAGATAAAAAATTAGTATCAGTTGTCTTTGCTTTTAAAACTTTTCAGTAGATTTACACAAATGAAACTATCTTCTTAAATCCACTTTGATTCACTTATCAATTGAGCTTAGCTCTGCATGTGAGAGTCTAGATCTGGTCTTCCCTTAGGCTGGAAGAAAAACATGAAAGAGGTCCTGTTTTCTGCCACTCATGCTGATCTAGATAGCAAAGAAGTGTCCCTTGAAGTCTTGCCCTCCCCATCCTGTGAGTTCAAGAGCTGGCCAGGCTGCATCGTCATTCCTTCCTTTTCATTCTGTGTGTCAGGTTTCACTCCTAGGGAAATCAAAGCATGGGAAATGGAGTGTGCCAGGGTTTCACCATGTGTGCGAACATGAGATGCAATCTACATATGCATCCTGGTCCCGGAGCCCAGAAGTACTTGCAGGCTTGACAGTTTAAATGTAGCCTTAGTGTCTGACCTACAGTCTTACACAGGTCAGTGGCAAATGAACTGGACAAAATAAATGAGTAGGTACAGCATCACCCTTGGTTAGCCATGGGAAAGTGCAGGCAAGGGAAATCAAATGCTTCAGACTGAAGGACCTCATGTTCACAAGTACATGGTTTAGTAATTTGAATAGATGACTGCTCGTGTGACTGGTTTCTCACGAAGTCCTTAAACCGCTTGTTAAACATTCCCATGATGTGGCTCTCCAAGCTGAGATAAGAAGGTGGAAAAAAGATTTGTTTGACAGCATCACGAAGTATGTCATGAGGACTCTGCTTGGGGAAATAGGCATGAAGGGGCTCGAATAGTGTAACATGAAGAATGAAGAAATGTCCTTCGGATATTTGGGCAGTATAGAAGAACTTACTTCAGCAGGCTGAATTCAAGGAATGAAGATTTCTCTGAAGAGACTGTCATAGAAATCTAAACTTAACCTTGCTTGAGAACACCTTTTGTAATCTGTACAAATGCAGGAGCTCTTTTCTAATTTTTGTAACTTCAAAATGAAACTTATCTATCTGTTCAGTTTTTATATGGAAGATATGTTACAAAGTAATTCTAAATTGATTATTGTAAGATTTCATATGCTTTCTTAGTAATGTAAGTTGCATTCTGTTTCATCTCACTAATTTCATTCGTTCCTCTAATGTAATTCTTTCATCACTTCCAACAAAGACATGTTTGTGCTTCAGAGGAGTGATCCCTTGTGGACATTTGTCTGAATTTTTTTGTGCTTATTTCTGAAAACCACCCTCAGGTTGTTCTGATTTAGTTGTATCCTTGATCATATTCACTGCTGTTATAGTTTCTTGTTCTTAATCTGAACAAGATTATCCAGACTGTAACTGGTTTTGTGAGTGTGTGCTCATGTCATTTTTTTTAAATGATCTGCAAAGCAGATATTTTTAGACTCCTTTTACATGTGCATATTGCAGAAAGTGACAGGCTTTTAAATAATTTTTGATTTGCCAACTTGTTCTTAGTGTTGAGCAAATGCTGTAATTTGGACCAGTAATAAACTGCTGTTGTAGATGCTATGTTTTAAATATTCAAATTCTGTGATCTATTATCTTGATTAAATACACCATATTGCAGTTTGTAGGTTCTGGTCTAGTGCTCTTTTTACCAAAATTCCTACAATGATAATTACATATTATCAAAGATTAATTATACTGTAGTTCTCATCGAACTTCGTATTCATTTCCTGTTAATGCATGCTGAACTATTATTCTTTTTTCCCTTGCTGGTTTGTTCTTAAGTAACTACATGGTCTTTTTGTAATCTGCATTAAATTATAAAAGACAGAATACAATACTCTCTGAGCTCATCAGAGTATTACTGTATTATAAAGTGGATACTTCCTTCACAGGAAGGATGAACTTTTTATTAATACAGGATATGAACAGTGATAAACCTAATACATTTCTGAATTTCTTGTGATAGCCCATTTTAAAAACATAACAACCACTGCATGTTTGTTAATGATATATATGACTGTTGCTTTCATAATACTACCAAAAGAGAATTCAGAGGTAAGGAAACATGAACTCTCAAGCACCATTCATGGAATTCAGTTTTGCCTTGATGATTCCCTTGACCTGGATCAGTTTAGTGTTTATGTTTGATAAAGCAGGAATTTTAGAAGTCTTAATACCAGTAAGCAACACTGTACACATAATGCAGTTTGACTCTTACATCCTTGTTTAAGCATCTTAACATGAATAGCAGCAAGCTTCTGCTGGCTTCAGTGATGGACATTGACTACCCTGAAAAATGTTGGTATTTATGGCAAGTTATTTAAGCTCTGAATTGATATTTAGGCTCTTAAGTTTAGGCTTCTTTCTTTACAGTCTTGGGCCTGGTCTAAAGGATTCTGTATCAAACACCAGAAAAAGACACAAGACTTACAACATTGTCCCCCTTTCAAGAATTTCCTGGTAGTATTTAATGTTGTAGTTTTAAGATGCAACATTCCCCACTGGAGAGTGATCGGAAAATTTATGTATCATACTACATGTTGCAGAACATCAGCATCAAAGTGTAAACTTTTAGCCCATTCTGCTGGAATTGAAAGCTTTTGACTTCTTGTTCTCATACATGTTTCCATTAGATTTGCAAAGGAGATGTATTTGAAGCAGGATTGCTGTGTCAGATACAGAAAACACCATTCCTCCACTTGCTTTCTTGTAACAGGACAGCTGAGAAGTAATTTAACAGATTATAAGAAACACTGTAATCACTTATTGAGCAGAGTTCAGTTAAAAAAAATAATAATCAGATGCTACACTTATTGGTTGTGTTAGCATTTGTAACACTGATAATTATCACAAGGGAACATGGGATTTGTCCAGCCAGAAGAAAAGATAATCAGAAATGGAATTACAGTGACACAGAAATCTGGCTTTTTACCTAATTTATGAAAATAGTAAGGGTGACTCCTGTGATCTCTCTGGATAGAAGACACTTCTTCAGGACAGCTATAGCATTTTGGCTATGTCTTACAAGTAAAGTGAAATTATGAAACTTGGCACTGTGTGATTGTTCTTGCACCTCTGAAACAACACTCTTGGCGATGGGTTTTCCTAGTACACTTGCATCTGCGTTCTTCATAGTAAACACTTCGCAAGTTCTGAAGACCTTTCACTGTGCATCACTGCTAAAAGTTACAAATAAAAATAAGTTGTGAAAGCAATCTATATTTTTACACATTTGAACAGAATAACATATTAGGTGTAAGGTCTGAGGATTTTGTCTCCAGTATTAAAAGCCCTGTCTTGGCCAAGTTACGTAGAATAAGCAATTGGTGAAAGGGATGGCTGTATTTCATACCCATAAGCGAGAAGACAAGGTTAGCTCCTACAAAAAGGCTTACAGTTGTGAACAAATGAATACATACAGGCTGGGGCAGATAAATTCTGTCACTCGTCTGGCCAGGTATGAGATGGTCATTAAAATCACTTCATTGTTTCTCTAGGAGCTCTGGTACTTCTTTTCAAGTTTGACAGACTATTTAAATTTTACATACTGTCTCTCCCTATATAAGACAACAAAAGGCTTTAAATTTTCCTAGACACTGCATGTGCAATCTGTACCACTGATTTTACTGAGTGTTCTTAGTAAACTTGGATGTGTTTCTGGACACCTTCAAGAGTACATTTTTAATTGGTGCCTGATTTGTTAGCACAGCAAGGAAGCTCTAATAGTTCTTTCTAGTGTACTTCAGCCTCAACATTTGAGTGGGCTGATTTAAAACAGTGTTCAGCTACCCTGCTGATGCAGTCCATATTGAAAGAGTGAGTTTCAGCTACCATTATGCTGCTTCTATGCATGAAGTATGGTTGAGAAATTAAATTACTCGTACTTGTTAAATTTAAAAAAGCCTTTCACACTTGCCTCATGTTCATGCTGTTGTAACCCACATCTACTCTGCTGATGTAGAGCAGAAGCATATGCTTATCCACTCCAGCTCATTTGATCTCAATTATTCTTTTCTGCCTTATTTTTAATCTTCTGTGGAAGAACTTAGTTATCAACAAAAATATCCCTAAACCTCAGAATTCAGCAAAATAACATTCTTGGAAGACATCATTAAGCCATATGTTTGTCTTGTCAGATCTGTAGTACTGAGTCATGGGAGGAGTTTAAACTAGGTGACTTACAGCCGTGATTATGAACAGGAGGAGGGGGAGGGCTGTGCATTTTGAAGTTAAAATGAAAAAAAACCCCCAAACCAAAAAACCAGAAAAAATATGCTGTTGCTGCTGGAACATTTCTTTCAAAGAGTGTGACCTATCAAGCCGTGTCTTAAAAGTGACTGCTTGGAGGGGAAGGTAAGAATACCATGGACTGGAAGAATACTCACACCTTTGTTACCTGAGTTCTCCTGATAGGCAAAATATAATTTCCTTCTAATATGAATATGAAGAGCACTCATAAAAAGGTTTCTGTTGGAGATGTTAAGCAGAAGTGGTGTGGTGAAAGGGCAACGTATGTTCTTCAGAATTGGGATAGAAATGCTAACTAAATCAGATGGAGGAAGAGGGAAGCTACGATAGCTGAATGGAAAGTTATTTGGGACGCCTGCTCCATTGTGCTCATGAAGCTGAAATCAAAGTGCAGTTTTCACTGATGACACTGCCAAGTATTTAATTCTAGTATTAATTCATACAGCTATTTCACATTGTAGTTTTACCTAGGGCAGGAGGTACAAAATTTTACGTAACCTGCGTTCTTAACTTTCATTTTGTTAGTATATAGTTTCAACAAATTTACAAAGGAATGCAGGATGGATTAGGAGAGATTTGTGCTTGTTCTGCTGGCAACTGTTGATTCCTTTAAATTTCAGTTGGGGAGTTTAAAAAACAACACATTCTTTCTCAGATACGGAGCTTATTTTCAGGTAAATAACTGCTAGTGAGCAGAAGGAGCAGGTAGATCCAGTATAAAGGCTACAGAGAACATGAGACAACAGTATCACTAGTTCAAACAAAAGGAGACATGTGAGATGAGCTGGCACACATATGAAGTCCTCAGCTGGAGCTTGGTAATCCTTGTTCATTTTGGCTTGTCATGTTGATGTCAACAAGCTTTGGGCTGACCTTTCTCAAACAGTATGTTTTGAGAGTTAATTCTTTTCATCTTACGAATACCATGCTAAAAACAAGAGTCCAGGAACAAAAATGGAAAATAGTTGGTGTTGGATTATGTGCTATGAAGGATGGAAAACCATATTTTAAAAAAAAACCCAGAAATTACCTGTTGCATTTCCTTTTGGTTTACATTGCAAGGTTTATTCTACTAAAATTAAGCTTTGTTGTATCCCTTTTCTCTGGAATGGTAAATTGAACTCTCTGTGATTTTCTGTTCCTACTCCAGCCGTGTTCTGACCTTGCCTCTCCCTTCATAGCTTACTGTATCTGCCACCTCTTCTGCATGTTGAAAATCTTGTTGATGACCAGTTCAAATCTCAAGCATTTTAGCCAGATACAATTTCACTGACGTTTGTAATTGAGGAGAAAGGTTTTAAAGCTGACTACAGGAGGTGAGGTGTCTTTAATTAGAAGCCTAGGAAGCATAACCTATTAGGAAGGTGTTTCGTCAGCAGTCAGTTGACGAAGCAAGACACTGAGCTGGAGATCAGGAGGAGCTCTGACCTGCAAAATGGCAACGGCTTCTTCACAAAAGGAAGCCTTTAGGATAAGTAATTACTTACTACCATTGCAATATTAATTACTTCTAGCACAACACAAACTTCTGTTTAAAGACAATGCTCTCTTTACAGTATGCAGATGCCCTGGTTTCAGCTGGGGTAGAGTTTATTTTCTTTCTAGTAGCTGGTACAGTGTTATGTTTTGGATTCAGTATGAGAAGAATGTTGATAACACACTGATGTTTTCAGTTGTTGCTCAGTAGTGTTTAGACTAAAAGTCAAGGATTTTTCAGTTTCCCCCATGCTCTGCCGTCAAGCAGGTGCACAAGCAGTTGGGAGGGGACACAGCCAGGACAGCTGACCCAAACTGGCCAAAGGGGTATTCCATACTGTGTGACATCATGCCCAGTATATAAACTGGGGGGAGTTGGCCTGGGGGCATCGCTGCTCAGGAACTAACTGGGCATTGATCGGCGAGTGGTGAGCAATTGCATTGTGCATCACTTGCTTTGTATATTCCAATCCTTACATTATTATTGTAATTTTATTATTGTTACTGTTATTGTTATTAGTTTCTTTCTTTCTTTCTGTCCTATT